TCGAATTCATCCTCGTCCCAGTAACTGAAGCTGGTCGGAGACGGCTTCGCAGAATCGGAAACGGAGGGTGGAGATTGAGGATCCAACGGCTCGTCCACCGGATCCGGTACATCAGAATCACGATCCGGTGAAGAAATTCCAGCAGGTTCAGGGTCCGACTTGGTGAGAAGAGAGGGACGGAGAGGGAGATCAGTGAGGGGGAGAGAAAGATCGTCATCTTCGAGGTCGTCGATTTCTGGTTCGAATCCTTCGAAGTGGGAATCAGCAAGAACATAAGAGAGTGAAAGAGAGAGAAGAAAGAAGGAGATGAAAAGGGAGAACAGCTTCGCCATGGCTGATTTTCCTCTCTCCGGTATCTGAGAAGAGAGAGAGAGAGAGAAAACAGAGCAAACCGCTCAAATCTGGATGAAGAACGACGATGAAATAGGAGGTGGAGTAGAGCGGAAACTGGAAAGTCGGGCCTCATTATTGGGCTGGGCCAGCTTGACCAAAAAATGAGCCCGGCCCATGTTTAAGTAGTAAGGCCCAAGTTCCAATCTCAAATCTCATGCTTTGGCCCAATGAGTCTCAAACCAATGGAAAGAGTATTCCTTCGTTATAAACATATGATCATTCCCTAAATTAGTCGATGTGGGACTTCCATTTCCTAAAATAAGTTTATAACTCAATCTAGACTATATGAATTAGGTTGGATTGATTAGGTTTTATTCGAACATCTATATAGTTTTGTGATGTCCCACATTGGTTGGGAGGAGAACAAACCACTATTTATAAGGGTGTGGAAACTTTTCCATAGCAGACGCGTTTTAAAGCCTTGAGAGGAAACCCGAAAGGGAAAGCCCAAAGAGGAAAATATCTACTAGCGGTGGATCTGAGCCGTTATAATTGGTATCAGAGCAAGACACCGAACGATATGTCAGCTTTCTCGTTATTTCTCGAAGGGGGTAGACATGATGCGGTGTGCAAGTAAAAGGACGCTGGACCCCGAAGGGGGGTGGATTTGGGGGCAGTCTCACATCGATCGGAGGAAGGATAGAGTGTCAGCGAGGACGCTGGGCCCTGAAGGGGGTAGATTGTGATGTCCCACATTGGTTGGGGAGGAGAACAAACTATCATTTATAAGGATGTGAAAACTTTCCCTTAGTAGACACATTTTAAAGCCTTGATAGGAAGTTCGAAAGGGAAAGCTCAAAAACGACAATATAAAAATTACAAATTTTGACCAATAACGTAAATATTTTGAAATAGTCGTCCACCAGCGTGGCAAACCCGACCTTGGACATGTAGGGCAAAACCAAACTCTCTATTTTTGTAAATTGAATTGGAATCAAACAAAAATTTTGTTGAAAATAACAAACATTATGCTTCATGGCTTCTAAGTCTCTTCACACAAAAACCCTACAAAACTCTAAAAAAACACGACCAAATTACAAAGCTCCTAACATGATCCCTCCACCTCTTAACCCTCCTCCTTCAATCCTCCCCTTCCTCACCTCCTTTTCGATCATAATCCTCATCTTCGTCTCCATTATCATCTTCTCCGTCCTCGCCTCCTTTGCCATCATCGTCCTCGTCTACTTCATTTGCAGATACCTAGTTCACCCAACTTATTTAGACGAACACGACCCTGTGCTCGTAGCGGATGAGAGAAACCAAAACCAAAGTCAGAGCACACGAACTAGGATTTTGGTATCTCATCCAACACGTCATGGTGGAGATGTAGAGAATGCATCATGGAGGGAGGGTTTGGAGAGGAAGGGGCTGAGAGAACAAGCTCTAGAGAAGACGACGACGGTGCTCGTGAGCTATGGCAGCTCGGAAGCGACCGCGAAATTCGTTGATTGTGCAATCTGTTTGGAGGATTTTGAAAAGGGAGAGCTTTGCCAGATTTTTCCAGTGTGTAATCATATTTTTCATTATTGTTGTATTCAACGTTGGTTGAAGAAGAACATGACTTGTCCCATTTGTCGTTGTTCTATTGAGTGACAAGTGCTGAGATTTGTATATATTTCAAACTTTTCATCCCATTGTTTCTAAAAATATATTAGTTTTTTCGAGTTTCTTTTCCACATTTCGAGTCGATGAATTGAAATTGGTTTGATTCGGGGTCGGTCGATCAACGATCCCAATAAGAGTTAAAACTCACCAAATCGATTGATTCTATTTACAGTTAACTATGCATGCAAGTCTCACAACCATATCAGAAAAGAATAAGTTTTAATTCTATTGGAGCAGGTAGTATAATGCATGTTTCTCAATGGACAAAGTAACGGATCGAGAGAGAAGTATTGTGATGTGACCAAGTGAGACGCTCAATGAGGATCAGGTGGGGTACGAGCCACAACCTTGAAAGTGAAAATTGAAGAAAAGGTGTTGCAACCAATAGAATCAAGAGGACAACGTTGAGATGCTGCTAACAACGTCTCGACACTCAAAATGCACCAAACAAGCCACATGACCAAAGACAATAGAATCGAAATGCTGCTCGAGTATGAAGATCTGAGGGATATTTGTATGATTCAATAATCCGACCAATTCAAACCACCCAACTTTGGATATATATTTTTTCAATTTAGGTTAGGTTGAATTTTTAGGTCCGTTTACGAGTTGATATTTTTTTGGTCAAGTCAACTTGACCAATTCGAGAATAGGGTTACAATCCAACTCAACCCAACCTTACCTTACTTTTTAAGATTATTATGAAGATTAAAAATATTTTACGTTTGTAATCAATGTTAGTGATACCTTGACTTATAAATATTTGATATTTGAATTTTATGAAATTTTAGTTATTAATGTAACATGTACGAGAGATAAAGTAATTTTTTTTAAATAATTAAAAAAAATTACAACCCGACAACTCAACTCGAGAAAAGAGGATTGGATTAGATTGGTTTATGAATTTTATTCGTATTATATTCACTAATTACATTAATTACATATGTTTTTTTTAGAGAAATAATCATAACTTCTAGCTTTCTCACGTCCTTATAAAAGTATTACCGTTGACGGGTTTCAAACAGAGACACCAACACCTTTTGGTAACACCCGATATTTTGAATTTTTTTAACCTTTCTTACCCCTTTTACTCGAAATCACATCTCCAACTTCCGTTAAGCTCACCCTTACTTCTCCTCGAAAATATGATGAACGTATCGAGCATTGTAATTTCATTAGTTAGCCCGACTTTAAATTAATCCAAGTTTTTGTTCCAAACTTACGAGAGCGTGTATGACAAACACCCAATCATATAATCGATACAGGTTATTGTTCTACAGGTACTTTACTCCCAAATTTATCGTTAATTACATGCAAATCAGACAAATTAATCTTTTTCAAATTTCGATGATAACAAGATTTAATTTCATACGTAACAAAAATCTTAAAACGGGTTTAACGTTTGTTCTTGTCGTTAGCTTTACAGATATAGTTTCTAAAACAAACGGGAAATTGTTACGAAACTAAAATCTTTTTATTTTTTTATATCAACAAAAATCACAAAAAAAAAAAAATGAAAAAGAAGAAGAACCATCAACCATGATTCTTCTTCATTTTCTCACCTCATTTTCCTTCATTTTCCCAGCATCCAAACAGCACAAGATCTGAGCTAATTAACAAACCAATACTCTTTCCCCTCCAAATTCTCATGCACATAATCGTCATCTTTGGCTTGTTCTTGATCATTCTTGTAATCCTCACCTTCTTCGCCTTGTGCCTTTACATTTGCTTCCAATGCTATAACCACGGCTTTCCCGAAGATGATTCAATCATCACTGAAAGTGGAGAATCGACGACGACCACGACGAGGGCGACATCGGTGGCGGTGGATTCCGATGAGATAAATCGCCATATTCAAATTGCGATGGAGAAATTGACGAAGCCATCGACGGAGTATGATTACGAGAAGGATAACGAAGCCGTGTCGGTGTTGAGTCAATGTGCTATATGTTTGGAAGAGTTCGAAAATACGGATTTGTGCCGTGTTTTTCCTAATTGCAAACATATGTTTCATACGCATTGCATAGTCCGTTGGTTAGGGATTAATCAAACTTGTCCGGTATGTCGGACTCAATTGTAGTATGAATAATTGTCGAACTCGATCATAGCTAACTGGTTAAAATGTGTATGTATGTTTGTTTGAGATGTCCTCGACCTTCACGTGTTGAGCTCAAAAAGAAAAAAAAAATGTAGGGCCACTACTGGCGATTTTCTCTTCTAAAGTAACGTGTGACAAATTTTGTCTTTGGTTTGACTTGAATTATGGGTCGTGAAATAATATGACTTTAATGTGTTATGAATTTGAGATGTTCATATGTAGCGGGAAATTTAGCGTATTTTTTTATACATGTCTAAAAAGAACTCTTATCCTCCCGAGTAATTTGATATTGGAATAGCTTGGGGGTATTTCTCTCTCGTTTCATTCTCTAGTTTCCACGTTGCTTCTCCGATTTGGTGGTTTTGCCATAATATCACGATGAAGGTTATTTCTTAGGTGCGTAGACCTTTTACCTCGTGAGCTAGGATCATTACCAGCTTCTCTTCATAACTCAAGTTTTTGTCCATATGTAGAGACTCGTAATCTACCACATGTGTCGGACTAATCAGGTACTTTCGAAGCATAGACACATGAAATACATTATACATCTCATAGAGGGACGGTGATAAGGCTAGTTTATATGCCACTAGCATGATTCGATCTAGGATATTGAAGGGTCCGATGAAACGTGAGCTTAACTTGCCCTTTCATCTGAACCTCAAAACAACTTTCGTCACCTCAAATTAGCGTAACTTTTCTATCTACTATGAATAAATTATTACAAATTTGAAAATATTACATACATACATATATATATACATGCATACATATATATACATACATACATACATATATATACATACATACATATATATATACATACATATATACATACATACATATATATATATACATATATTAAATCTAATATAATAATAATAAAGTTTAATTCATCAAATTTTTGAACGGAGGGAAAAAGAAGGGGAATCAACAGCCCAATTTCCGCATCAGTACCAAGCCCCTCTCATCGCGGGAGACCATGTCGGTTTGCTCTTCTTCTTCTTCCTCATTATCATCATCCGGGTACTTTGGCAGTGCCAAGGCCTGGATTGTGCATGGGATTGTTGCCGGAGTCGCCATTGGCGCCGCCATCGGAGCTCGAGCTTATTTGGGTCGATCCAACAAATTCCGTAGCCGCGTTGTCGGAATCATTCCCGCCCGTTTCGCCTCTTCGCGGTTCCAGGGGAAGCCTCTCGTTGAGATTCTTGGAAAACCCATGATCCAGGTTTCTAATTGTTTTTCATCCTTTTCTTTTTTGTTCGTGCCGTTTCTGGATCTATCAATTTCGGTTTATACTGCTGTTAATACTCGGAATTTGCATTTGTTTCATATCTGATCTGGGTTTTGTTCGTTTCAATTTCTAAGTTTAAGTTGAAACTATTCATTATGTGATGGATCTACCATGAAATGTAACTTCTATTTTCCTAACTCTTTTAAGTAGATTATGGGAGAAGAATTATAGGTGAATTAGCAGAATTTCTCTTTACCTATTGGATAGGTGCTGGTAAATCTGTTCACTCTGGTCTTAGGGATTAGGAAGCTTGGTGAGCTTAGCTAGAGCAGAAATCTCAAAAAGAAATTAACGGCGAAGTTCTGTGGTTTTGATATGGAATCAATCTAAGGGAAAGTTTTGGAACGGATTATCTTGATGATCAAGATCAAGAGTAAAGAAAACTCGTGATTCGAATCACTCTAAAAGAGGTTTGATCAATGACACTTGAATGACTCTAAAGCCTTGAGGGAAAGTCCGAAAGGAAAATACCAAAGAGGACAATATCTGCATGGATCTGGGTTGTTACAAATGGTATCAGAGCCAGAGACCGGACTATGTGCCAGCAAGGAGGTTGTTCCCTAAAGGGGGTAGACACGAGACGGTGTGCCAATAAGAACGCTGGGCCTCAAAGGGGGTGGATTTGGCAGGGGTCCCACATCGATTGGAGAAAGGATAGAGTGCCAGCGAGGACGCTGGACCCCGAAGGGGGGTGGATTGTGATGTCCCACATTGGTTGGGGAGGTGTGGAAAACTTTTCCCTAGCGCGTTTTAAAGCCTTGAGGGAAAGTCCGAAAGGGAAAGCCCAAAGAGGACAATATATGCTAGCGGTGGATCTGGGTCGTTACAGTAACCCACGTGGGTTACAATTTTTTGAAGTCTTAGCCTTCGTCTCTATTTTCTTTTTACCCAAGTGTTTGGCCTTTACTTCTCTGTGCCCGTTCTCGAACAAAGCAAGGGATCGAGCAGCACAAAAGAAAATTTTGATTCGTCAAGAAATGCTGTCTTTTGCTAATCTTCTCTGTCTCGAATTTGGCTTGGCTTTCCTCCCGATCTTGTAGTTTCATATTATTTATAAAATTGTTCCTTATCCCAAAGAAAGGACAAATAAATTGATCAACAGCATCATTTTTCCATCGAAATCGGATACACAAGGAACCTAACGACATCGGACTCTACTTTTACATCGTTCGTTTTTTCACTTCGGTCGAAATTTTAATATGCCTATGAAATTCATATTCAACAGAGAACATGGGAAAGGGCAAGAATGGCTACTACATTGGACTGTGTTGGTAAGCATGTTTGCTTTTTTCTTCTTGTTTCAAGCTTCACCATCTCATCCTTTCCTTTTGATTTGAAATCTTTCCAGTTGTTGCAACCGATGATGCTAAGATTGCACAATGCTGTAAAGAATTTGGTGCTGATGTTGTAATGACATCAGAGTCGTGTAGGAACGGTAATCACTGTGATTTTATAATGAAATCTCGAGATTACTTTTGAAGTCTTATAATTTTCGGTACAAAACTACTTTAGGAACTGAGCGTTGTAATGAAGCGCTTCAAAAGCTTGAGAAGAAATACGATATCGTCGTAAACATTCAAGGGGATGAGCCCCTTATTGAACCGGACATCATCGATGGCATCGTTAAAGCTCTGCAGGTAAAACGATCTCATATCTTTCAGTTATTGTAACATTTATATTCGATAGTGTGGTGAAGATGCGTTCGACTTCACGAGCTCTTGTTCTGTATGGTGTGTAGGCTGCCCCGGACGCAGTGTTCAGCACTGCAGTGACATCCTTACGACCCGAAGATGCGTTCGACCCCAATCGGGTGAAGTGCGTAGTGGATAATCGTGGTTACGCTATTTATTTCTCAAGAGGATTGATCCCTTTCAACAAGTACGATTTTCTTTTCAATCATGTGTTTCCCTTGTCGTACTCTTCGTTATCAACTTTAGACTTCCATTATAGATAACTTCCCGTGCTCGTGCTCGGGAAACTTAATGAGTTACATCAATTCATTTCATTGTTGCAGGTCAGGAAAGGTCAACCTTCAATATCCTTATTTGCTTCATCTTGGAATCCAGGTATTAACGGAACGTATACGAGATTAGTTCATTATGTCGTAACGTCAGATTAAACAAACCTTCCTTTTCCTCTATTCTTCTTTCCAGAGCTTCGATTCGAAGTTTTTAAGTACGTATCCTGAACTCGAACCAACACCAATGCAACTAGAAGAGGATCTTGAACAGCTAAAAGTATTAGAACATGGCTACAAAATGAAGGTACGCACAGTTCATCTTCTAACATACCTACCATCTTTTCCCACTGTTGGAAATTCGTATACTCGAAAGATCTAGAACACAGCTTAGTACTCGTTCGATGGATTATCGAAAACGAAATTGTGTTTTCACCTGTGGAAACTGGCATTTTGTTTGGCAGGTGATTAAGGTTGACCATGAGGCTCATGGTGTTGATGTTCCTGAAGATGTAGAAAAGATAGAATCTTATATGAAGGAAAGGAACTTGTCTTAGAAAGCTATACGTTCGGGATTGATAACGATTTCGTTTTTAGTTTACGAGTTTGAAAAAGATTTGGTATTGAGTTGATGCAATTTTTTGTTTCTGATTTTTGGGTCATTTAGTTATTTGTAAAGTTAGTTTGATATATGTGATTATATGTGTAAATTTGTTGATCAAAAGGGTTGGTTTTAAAATAAGGTCCCTAGCTTTTCCCATTCTATTTAGCTTATCCCATTGTTACCGTAACATGGTTCAACACTTACGACGTGGGTACTAGCACGAGTAAAAATGGTTGAAAAGTCTACGGTTTGAAAGAGAGTAAAATGATCTGAAATCTCATAAGCTAATCCAAAATCGATCGATAGACATGACTTTTATAGCTGCTTTTATCTGCTTGAAGTGTCGTGTAAACCAGATATGAAATAATAAATATGAACCAAGACTACTCCTTTCTATATCATAAATAATTGAAGAGAGGTCGAAAATGTGAGAATAAGATCTTATTGAAGTAATCTCTTGCATTATCTCGATTCGGGTCCCATGGAGGGGTGGTGGCTAGGGCCTTTACTGTGTGATATCTCACATTGGTTGGGGAGGATAACAAAATATTCTGTGTGGAGACGCATTTTAAAGCCTTGAGGGGAAGCCTGAGAGAGAAAGTCCAAAGAGGACAATATTTGCTAGCGGTGGGCCTAGGTTGTTACAAATGGTATTAGAACCAGACACTAGACGATGTGCCAGCCTTCTTGTTGTTCCCCGAAAGGGGTAGCCACGAGGTGGTGTGCCAATAAGGACGCTGGCCCCCCAAAGGGGGTGGATTGTGATGTTCCACATTGGTTGAGGAGGAGAACAAAACACCCTTATAGCGTTTTAAAGCCTTGAGGGGAAGCTCGAAATGGAAATAAGTCAATATCTGCTAGCGGTGGGCCTGTGTTGTTATATTTACAATCGTAATGACACCGGCTAGGTTTATTAAAGTTGTATAGTTGGCTTATCTTAGCTTTTAAACATGTGGTTTCACGTGATTGATAGATGACCCATATCGAACAATATGCATTGAAACTCAAAATTTTAAAAAAATTACCCAACTATTTGAAAATCCTAATCAATTGTCTTAAGAGTTTAAATATATAAAATTAAAATTTTATGAAATTTGTAATTTTATTCAAAAGAAGAAAAAAATAAAAACAAAGAAAAATTATTAAACTTTCAATAAATTCGTAATTAAATAAAATATGAGATGTACAATCGAACTCGCGGACATGAATGTGGATGCCACCTGTCAGTCCACGCGTCAGATTAGCATTCGTCTGTGTTTGAACTTGGATCAACGTCGCCGTATGCCTGTCCCAGCACCCTCATCCATTCGTCCTCCATTCATTGCCACATCAAACACAAGGCCCAAATTACCAAAATTTTCCCCGACCTCACACTCGCAACCACTATCGCTCATCAATCCCTTGCTCCGATGGCTACGGTTCTCGATTCCCTCACTCTTCCCTGTTCTTCCGCCTTGGCTTCCACTGCTTTCTCCGGCCGTCGGAGCTCCGTCGCCCTCCCGCAGTACAGAGGCTTGAAGATCGGTCACAGTTTAACTTCCCAGTCTATAAGATCTGCGAGATCTAATGCCAGATTTGCTCAGCGTTCTGGAAGAATCGTCTGCGAAGCTCAGGAAACTGCTGCCATTGGTTGGGATTTTGTTCTGCAATTTTCTTTTTCTGTCTTTTTCTGTTGTTTGGAGGGTAGAAGAAAGGAAATTTTAACAATACTAGAAAGTTTGATGAATTTAAGAGCATGCTGTTAGTATCTACTGGTGTTTGGTTTGGTTTAGATTCGCATGAAACTCATCGTGTCTCCAATTAGTAAACAATATGATAGAGCTCCACTAGAGTTAACTTATAAGCGTCAGCTTAAGGCACGTTTAACCTATTCAGTATATGCTTAATATAAATTAGAGAGAAAGGAAAGATAAAAGAAAGAATGAGATCAGTTGTTGGAGTGATGTTGACATGATATGACAAATCATTTTCTGTTTGAATTTATGTACTTGTCATATTTTTGTACTCTGATACCTGACGGATATATGGATGTTGCGTATTCCCATCCATGCACATGCTTGGATATGATGTAAATTACTGTGATGAATTTTGATGTCGAATGACTCTTCAAGTGCTTAAAAAAGTACTTTTGAGTGAAAAGAGATGCTTTTAAGCACTAAAAAAGCAATTCTAAAGAGCCTTAATTGGACCTTATAAATGTGTTTCAGTTTGAGCATTAAAATTGTTTACGAATCACTCCATTAACCATAAAGATCGATCATATAGAGTTGTTTACACACATTTAGCTTCCAAATATTTTAATATGATATTGTTTTGAGCCAATATCAGGCCTGCTCCATACCTCTCCAGTGGAGGATTTCTGTGTTTGATGCTGTTAGAAGAGAGGTGCCTCCAGTACCAACTTAAGCAGAAAATGAGGGGAATGTACTGCATATTATTAAGGGTTCGTGTGTGGTATATATATATTATATGAGATTGGAGTAATTTTTTGTTTTGTTATGTCTTTAGTTTGGCTCCGGTCTCTAGGATGAATATATGTAAGGCCTTTTATATGATTTCCCCCCCCCCCCCCCCCCCCCCCCCCCCCCCCC